ACAGCTACGGTGGTACAGCTGAATGCTAAAGTACTGGTTGACTAAAATGTTACAAGGTTGAAACAAAACAAGACAAAGTTCTCAAACCAACAACATGTCTGCTACATGCATTCTTCAGTTCATTTCTTTCAAAATCTACTAAGGATGCAAACATAATGGACTGATTTTTGTTTTTTTAGTCTAAATATTGTCAGCGTCATCAATCATATCAACTAATCACGGCCACTCTAGGTAGGTTTTAACTATTGTAGTTATCATACACTATGGCTGTGTCCGAAATCACCCACTATACCCTATGTAGTGTATGGAACCCCGGAAAGGACATGGAGAAAGAAAAAAAACAAGGAGAGGGGAAAAAAATTTGCGAGATCTCGCAAAAGTTTTTGCGAGATTGGATGTTTTTATTTCAGGCTGATTTCAAAATAAAACTCAATAAAGCTCTCGTACGGGTGGGTGTCCTCCATTGTTGTTCCTCCAAACTGCCAAAAAGACCCAGAAGTATAAAAACCTCGAGTTTTCTTTTTCTTCTTCTTGTATTGATTTGGCGGCTGGCATCCAACATTCAGGTGCATTACTGCCACCTACTGGACTTACCTACAGTTTTGCGGGATCTTGCAAAAGTTATTGCGAGATTCTGAGAGACAGAACAGAGCTAAACAGAAAGTTTTTCGAGATCTCGCAAAAGATATCTTCATTTATTTACTTTTTTCCTACCTAATTTATTTTCTCCCTGTTTTTTTTCCTTTCTCCATGTCTCTTCTGGGGCTCCGTAATACTGCACTATATAGGGTGTTTGCCATTTTGTAGTGCTGTTTGAATGTTAAGTTACGAATGTTACACCCTATATAGTTCACTCAAAATATCCCGCAATGCACCGTGAAACGTAGTGTACAGTCGACAGTCACCAACTGAACAATATGGACCATCATGCATTGCATGAAAAGGAAACTTGACGAAGGAGAGCGTGAAGACTTGTCATTAAAATGTAAGTAGTTTCCTGTTTATGCTTTGTTGAATTTTATTATACCCGGTTCTTAGTTATGCAACAAACTGTGAATGTGATGAGTTTGTACTACGCTGCTACGGCACAAATCACGGCTAGTGAGCGTCGTAATTAATAGCTTAAGTAATATCTGAAATGCTGCTTTGCCGAGGTGCTCCCTACATAGTGGTCCCTATGTAATGAGTAGGGAGTGAGTGGATGATACAGCCATTATCTTTTATTTCAACCATTTTTNTGAAACAAAACAAGACAAAGTTCTCAAACCAACAACAAAATGTCTGCTACATGCATTCTTCGGTTCATTTCTTTCAAAATCTACGAAAGATGCAAACATAATGGACTGATTTCTTTTTTTTTTTTAGTGTAAATATTGTCAGCGTCATCAATTATATCAACTAATCAAGGTCACTCTAGTTAGGTTTCAACTAAAGTAGATATCATACACTATGGCTGTGTCCGAAATCACCCACTATACCCTATGTGGTGTATGGAACCCCGGAAAGGACATGGAGAAAGAAAAAAAAAAAAACAGGGAGAGGGGAAAAGAAATAGAGGTATCATTTTGCGAGATCGCTCAAAAACTTTTGTGAGATTGGATGTTTTTATTTCAGGCTGATTTCAAAATAAAACTCTCGTACGGGTGGGTGCTCTCCATTGTTGTTTCTCCAAACTGCCAAAAAGACCCAGAAGTATATATACCTAGAGCAGGGGTGCCAAATCCTGGTCCTCGAGAGCCCCTATCCAGCATGTTTTAAAGGTTTCCCTCTTCCAACAAACTTGATTCAAATGATCAGCTCATCATCAAGCTCTGCAGAAGCCTGATGACGATCCTGATCATGTGAATCAAGTGTGTTGGAAGAGGGAAACATCTAAAACATGCTGGATAGGGGCTCTCGAGGACCAGGATTGGGCACCCCTGACCTAGAGGTTTCTTCTTCTTCTTCTTGTATTGATTTGGTGGTTGGCATCCAACGTTCACGTGCATTACCGCCACCTACCGGACTGGAGTTACCAAAAGTTATTGCGAGATCCTGTGAAAGTCTTGCGAGATTCTGAGAGACAGAACAGAGCTAAACAGAAAGTTTTTCGAGATCTCGCAAAAGATATCTTCATTTATTTTTTTCCTCTCCCTGTTTTTTTTCTTTCTCCATGTCCCTTCCGGGGCTCCGTAATAGTGCACGATACAGGGTGTTTGCCATTTTGTAGTGCTGCTCAAATGTTAAGTTACGAATGTTACACCCTATATAGTGCACTCAAAATATCCCACAAAGTAGTGTACAGTCGACAGTCACCAACTGAGCAATATGGACCATCATGCATTGCACGAAAAGGAAACTAGACGAAGGAGAGCGTGAAGACTTGTCATTAAAATGTAAGTAATTTCCTGTTTATGCTTTGTTGAATTTTATTATACCCGGTTCTTAGTTATGCAATAAACTGTGAATTTAATGGGTTTCTACTACGCTGCTACAGCACAAATCACAGGTAGCAAGCGACATAATTAATAGCTTGAGTAATGTCCGAAGTGTTGCTTTGCCGAGGTGCTCCCTACATAGTGGTCCCTATGTAATGAGTAGGGAGTGAGTGGATGATACAGCCATTATCTTTTATTTCAACCATTTTTAACTTGTTATTCTTCGGTTTTACACATTACTTAGGCCTCGGTATATGATATACTACATTGTTATTAGGTGCAATGCGAAAAGAAAGCAAGATAACTGCAAGAGCAGCTACAAGGTCCTACATTTGCAAATCCATCATATTCGGCTGTTTCATCGATGGCGTCACTTTTAAGAAGTGCTTTTATGCTCCAGTCTTTCTTTTCCCTCATTTTTTACTTCCTGCATGTCCTCCAATCTGTCCTTCTTCCCTTCCACATGTCCCACATGTAAATCAGGTGACTGCAAATCCTTTATAATCACACTGTTACCTTGATCCTGGACATTCAATGTAATCATTTTACAGTATATGCAAGTATGGGGACTGACTGCTGCTTTAATCCGTCTGTCATGAGTTTTTAATATTACATTCTGGCTCAATGCATCAGCTCTGGAAATAGCTGAAGGAATGCAGAGCAGCGATTAACAGGATGGAGATCATGAGGAGAAAAAGCTGATGTATGCACACAAAAACACAAGATTATTAACGCGAGCACAAACTAAGTCTGACATAAAGTAGATCACTAAAAAAAAAAAAAAGTACAGCACTAGAAGACACACAGGGCTTCTCTGGCAAAGATTCAGGCCCATGTTTTTCACTGTCTTCTATTCTTAGACTCATCCTTTGATTCAGCAGACAGTAATATGCATAAGCAGCACAGCATCATCCTCAGTGAAGCGCTGATCTTCCTCTGCTTTAGATACTCTGACTTGTGCCGTCTACTCGAGTCAGGAAAACAAAGACGCTTTCTAATTCCAGCACTGTCCTCAGAAAAGTTCCCCTTTTCTACAGAGAAGAGCTTAAATTAGAAGCGTCTTGATAATCACCGTAATTTATGTGAGTGAGTGACGGTGTGAAACATTGATGAGCGCGCTGTCAGTGGCCCTCACACGCTGTACAAACACTTGCACAGAGAGAACAAGTCAAACAGGAAAACCAGCCTCTGTCAACTGCCTGAACACACACACAAATACAGACCCGCTAATGAAAAGACCACGATGCTAAGAGGCAGCTCCGTGCTCTATCTCTGCAGCCACAGAAGCTCGCCTTTAATCCTGCTATTCATTACCCCTCAGCTTGGAGAGGAGGTGACAAATAAAAAAAAGATGCTCTTTTGTTTTTGTCTACAAAGAGAGCCTCGAGATCTTTGTGGCTTCTTGCCTATCCTCTGTGCTAATCTAGACATGATGTAACGCTGTAAATCTCAAAATGTTTGCAGCTGCATCAACTTTGCTGCACCAAAAAGAGAAAAATGACAACACACAGCGATGATGATATGCTGCTTCAATTTAGCATTCAGCCAATAATTTACGAATAAAACGAGATTATTTCTGTGCAAGATCTTTTGCTTCAGTACATCAGGTACAGAAACGTATTAAAGCCTGATCTCTTGTCAGAGCGACAGTAATGCCAAGGTTCACGTTGGAAAAGCTGCTTTGTTCTTGGTAACCAAACATTAATCACATGGTTTAGGGTGGCCCTCCCATCTGTGTCTGTCAGGATATCCATTCTTTGAACAGCTTAAAAGAGCAGAGCTTTGATGTGCCTGTTCCCCTTCTTTGCCTCACACTGGTCAGCTTAAAAACCACAGCGGCACACTGAGAAGAAACTCTGACTGTAAACCTCAACGTAACTCTGAGTCTCATCTGAGCCGCTGAAGCTCGTTATTCCTTCAGAGGAGTCATGTGGCATTTGGGTGGCCACCTCCAGAATTATAGGTATCTTGATGGACTCTCCCTGAATCACAGGTGTCTTGATGGGCTTCCTCACAATCATGGGTGCCTTGGTGGCCTCCTTCCAGAATCATAGGTGTAATGATGGCCTCCCTCAGAATCATTTGTGTCTTGCATGGCCTCCCTCAGAGTCAAGGGTCTTGGTGGTTTTCCTCAGAGTCATAGGTGTCTTCGTGGCCTCTTTCCAGAATCATAGGTGTCTTGATGGCCTCCATCAGAGCCATAGGCATCTTGGTAGACTTCCTTAGAGTCATAGGTGTCTTTGTGGCCTCTTTCCAGAATCATAAGTGTCTTGGTGGCCTCCCTGAGAGCCATACGTGTCTTGATGGCCTCCATCAGAGTCATAGGTATCTTGGTAGTCTTCCTCAGAGTCATAGGTGTCTTTGTTGCTTCCCCCAGAATCATAAGTGTCTTTGTGGGCTCGTCATAGTCATAGGTGTCTTGGTGGGATTCCTCAGAATCATAGGAGTGACAGGTATCTTGGTGGTCTTCCTCAGAGTCAAAGATGTCTTGGTGGTCTCCCCCAGAATCATAGGTGTCTTGAAGGCCTTCCTCGGAGAGTCGTAGGTACCTTGGTGGTCTTCCTCAGAGTCATCTGTATCTTGATGGCCTTCCTCAGGGTCATAGGCATCTTGGTGGTCTTCCTCAGAGTCATAGGTGTCCTGGTGGCCTTCCTGAGAGTCATGGGTGTCCTTGTGGGCTCCATCATAGTCATGGGTATCTTGGTGGCCTCCCCCAAAATCATAGGGGTCTTTATAGGATTCCCTCAGAGTCATCGGTGTCTTGGTGGTCACCCCCAGAATCATAGGTGTCTTGATGGCCTCCCTCAGAGTCATAGATGTGTCATGGCCTAAATCAGAGTAATAGGTATCTTGTTGGTGGCCTCTATTCAGAATCACACAAGTCTTGGTGGCCTCCCTTGGAGTCATAGGTGTCTTGGTTGCCTCCCCCAGAATCATGGGTGTCTTTGTGGGCTCCGTCATAGTCATACATGCCTTGCTTGCCTCCTTCCAGTATCATAGACGTCTTGATCTCCTCCCTCATAAATGTCTCGTGGCTCCAGTCAGAGTCATAGGATCTCCTTCATGTTTCTTAATCTTTCATGGCCACTCAGTATTTTAAAAACGTCTGCTCTAGGCACAATTACACATGTTCCATATTCTTTACATTTCTTAATAAAAGATTCAATTGTACTCTGTGGGACATTCAGCAGCTTGACAGCTTCCTTGTATCCATGCCCTGACTTATGCTTTTCAATATCTTTTTTCAATGAGCTTTTAGTGTAAAAAATACAAGTCTATAACTCTAAGGAAGCTATTTGGGGCTTTCCAGTAAGTTCAAGTCAAATGTCTCTTCAGGATATGCTATCATGTGTAAACATTTAGTTCGGTTAACCTTCAACATTCCCTGTAAGGACGCTGATATCGAGCACCAAGCTACAGCCGGTCCTATTGTGCTGGTCAACAGCAGCCGACAAGGTCTGAGTGATAAACAGCAGCAACAACAGCTCCAGTCTAGTGGCTGTGTGTTTGATACAGCTCAATAAAGCAGGTCTTGGTCGAGTATGTGACCCCGTTTTATGAATCAAACACACAGCTCAGTTTTTCTTCTCTCTTGCTAACGTAACATAAAACATCTGGTATCATGCAGGTGATCTGAACACATGAAGGGCTGTGAAGAAAACAACATGGACACTACCATGGCTCCTGAAGTCCTCCTCAAAGTAGTCTCTGTTCAGGGCAAACTCCGGCTCCTCTGTGTAACTGTAGAGCTCTGTGGACACAACAAAACAGAATCAGACATGAAGCAAATAGCTGATTGATCGATCAGCTGGTTGTTTAAGTCGTTTTTCAAGCTAAGATTCGAATCAGGTTGCAGCTTCTGCAATTTTTGGATTTTGACTATTTTCAAAAATCAAAGAGCAGAAGTGTTAGAATCAGTCAGAGACAGAGATGTCCTTTCTCTTAAAATGTGACAAATGCAATAATATCAAATTCGTGCACCTCTCTGCATCAATAAAACACAACAGAATGTGACAAATAATTACCCTGACACAGCCTATTATGCATGTGGAACACACACTTGCTCTTTTTTTCTGCTTAAATATTTAATTTTACTAAAAAGAATTTTACTATTATTCATTAAAGCGTCTCATTCTTGATGCTTTGGCAATATTGTTCACATGACAGTCGGGCTAATAAACTACTGAACTGAATTTAACTGAGAAGAGAAAGAATAGAACAGAACAGAACAGAATAGAATACAATAGAATAGAATAGAATATGAGAAGAGAAAGAATAGAACAGAACAGAGCTAAACAGA